TCGCGGAGAGGAGTTGAACGAGAGATGAGAAGGAGCGGGAGAAAAGTTGAAGATAATTACCACTTTGAAATGGGAGAAACGATTCCGGTTTGAAGAAACTTCCATCATCGGTTAGGAATCTGTCGGGTCGAAATTCGAGAGGATCTTGCCAGTAAGCAGAATCGGTGTGAACAGCCCACTGCATCGGCACGATCATGGCACCGCGTGGCACATCGTAATCACCTATTCGCGTATCCTAAACAAACGTCGAGAATTTGGAATTAAATGTACATTAAACTGACTTTGGCTATAAAATACAGGCTATAAAATATTAAACATGTAGGATCTATACTGAAACAACAAGAAAAATTTTCGCGTGAGTATGTAGTCTGTTTAACTTAAAATTACAGCCACTTTTGAATCCTATATATTCGACACATTAATAAGTTACTTGAGAATATGAAAATTGAAAATTCAGAGAGCTTGAGCAATTATTGAATGAGAACTTCCTTCGAATGCAAGAAGAATATCAAGAGAAATAATTTCTCATTTGAATGATCCAAGGAAAAGCCAATAAACAAATGGCAATTTTATTTAAGAAAAGGAAACGAATTCTTATTCATTTTTATACTTAATTCATGCAAGTTTACATTTTTATAAATAAAATCAAAAGAATGGAATCTGGATAGAAAACTGAGTTCTGTCTTCTTGTAATCGATGATTTTTCAAAACTAAGCAAATGTTAACATTCTGCTTTCCTAATCTTTCTATTTTTTTTATATCGCTTTTATGTTGAATTCTTTAGAACAGTGAATCAATGAATTAGCACGTATTCATTTTATTCTAACAGTCCCAAGGTTATCTTAAATCATCAATACAATAAAATTATATAATATAATATAATAAAATATAATATAATAATATTATATTAATATAATAAAATTAGTTAATTGACAATAATATTAGTTAATTTGCATTTTTACAATTTTGTAATTTTTCAACCAGAATATTCAGAATTTACTTGCAATATTTCATTTACATTCCATTTACGTTTCATCGCTAGCCAGACATTTGCTAGTAGCTTGTTAATAAGTATCTGCTTGCAAAATTTCACTAATAACGTTAGTTCAATCGTGCAAGATGGCCCGGTTATTCAAATACTAATAAGCAGTACCGTACCTCTGATGTTCCACGAGGAAAACCGAGTGGCGTAACACTTCTTATCCTTTGCACCTCGGCGATAGCAGCCTCGAGACGAGGCATGACGATTCTATCCTCCAAAGTTAGTTGAGCTCCTTCTTTTGTATACAGATCCATCTCCGATTGTATTTTGTCCTGCGAGTAAATTACGATTTGAGCAATAAATGCATGCAGAGAATCGTATGAGATCGTATGAGAGTTCTACAGTAGTTGCAGAGTTTTGTCAAATTTTCCAATAAAGTGATTTCACATTCCCTTTTCTCATCGTATCGAAATTTTCGCAGTCATATAAAAGTACAATTAAATCATAGAAGAAAATACTTTGAACAAATCAGTTAATACGTAGATGCCATAATATTTGCATATACACGTCTTGCAACCGGTTTACAAAAATATTCGAACATTTATAAGGACATTTTCGCGAAGATTTTTTCTAAAGAATTTCATTGAAACTAGACTTTGTATAAATAAACTTGGATGTTTGTACTTTTATGAACACAACTAGTCGATTCTAACTAATGAAATTTATTTCACTTGATATTATTATAGAACTGTCTATGATAATGTACTTCTATAAAACCTTTTTATCATCAGAAATCAAATTGCGCGAAAGAAATTACTAGAATTACTAGAATTATTAGAATTGGCCATTTTTACCATTTTGAAGTTCTGTCATCAATACTGTGACTACAGATGCAATAATAATACTCTACCTTGAATATTTATACATATTATATGCACTTTGTGGGTTTTATTGTTTCTTAAAGTTACTAATTTAATTTGATTTCTTAAAGTTACTAAGAAAAGTGTGATGTACCTGCTCCGCGGGATAGGCAGCCATGAATAAGAGGAACCAACGAAGGGTGGTCAAAGTGGTATCAACTCCAGCACCATAAAGATCCGCCAATAAATGGTACAGTTGAGGTTCCGTAAAAAAGCCAGATTCCACAGCGTTCCTTTTTCTCATTTGTTCGTCGAATGCCGCCAGAAAGCTGTCAATTTTATCCGTATTTTCTGATTCCTTGATTCGTGCACGATGCTCGACGAGTATCTGCCGATATACTTCGTGCGTTTTCTCCTTTCCATCGACGATAGATCGTATTATTCTCCCGTATCGTGGCAAGAATCTGAAAAATAATTTCGAAGCGCAAGCTTTATTATTATTTTTCATTTCACTTCTGTTTAAAAGTTCGAAATTTAAATACCGGATGCCCTGTTTCAACTTATAAATGCCATTGTTCGCTACTGGAACCATTTAGCAAATGTTTTATTTAGAAATGATAAAAATTCAAAATGATGGAGTTTTCTGAGTCGAATAAAATAAACTGTAGAGTAACTTTCTAAAGTAAAACACTTAGATTACACACTGATAATTGCAATTGAAAATATTCACACTCCTTTCATTTTGTTGAGTAAAAGTTATACCCTCCTCATGCTATCAGTGTATATTTATAGTATATTTCATCATTTATCGTGTCATTAACAACGGGTTCAAATAGTCTGCTTTTTAATGTAGATTGTTCAAAAATTATCCGTAAATGAATTTAATATTTCTTTTGCAATTCTGACATTTTAATGTTGTTTTATAGTTAAACGAATGAATTTAATATCCTTTTCTTGTGATTTAATATTAATTATTTTGATTATTTATAGTTACAATTTATATGAAATTTATTTACATATGCATATTTAATTTATAGAGGCGTTCGCCAACTATTGCTTATCATTTTCTTCGCGAATTGAATTTTACCTGAGAAAAGGTAAAAAATTGAGTGGCCCAGCGACGCCAATCTGCTTCACTCCTTCTTCCTGCAAATGTCTCAGCCATTTCCAGACTTGTTCATCTTCCCCGTACGTTTTCCCAAACACGATGCTATTAACGAGATTGCCCATACAGTGATGAAGCGTATCTAATGGATCGATTGGTCCATCTGCTCCGCGTCTTTTTAGTATCTGTCACATTCGAATGGAGAAAATTGTATGGAAAATGATCCTTACCGTTTTAAATCTTACAAAGTTTCTTAAATAAATTAGCTAAAGAGATGTAAAACTTTGTCCATTTGAATTCGGAACGATAAATGGTTTATACGTATAGTTAGAATTCATGTTAATAGGAGTACAATAATTCTTCCCTCTATTAGTAATTTTTCGTTCATACAATAGAAATTCAGATTCGAATTGACTGAAATTTGGTTCAAATACGTATATATAAATGGAGTTTTATTGTACGTACACTATTGTGCACAAATAATTGCGTACTTAATACAATTCCATAAAAAACATGATATTTTTGTTACGATTGACGAACAGTCTTTCTGCTGTTGATTCTATGCATCTTCACGTTTCATATTCATTTTTAGTAAATAGCTGATGCTTCATAAAATCTGTGTAATATTTTACGCAATGTGGTCAGAAATAGATATTTCAATTATTCGAAAATTCCAACAATGATTAGATATTTTTAATACTAGAAATACCAAAGATTATTAAAGTATATAATTTATATCGAAGAAATTTAAGTGCAAGCGATAATAAAATAAAAAGCACGAGCTGTCATTTGTACATTTTGCACGAAAAATTATTCGGATTTCTAGAAACGCATTAGTGTGAATTTGCAAGGAAAATACTAATAGTTCTCGTATTAATTACTTCGTTAGTTCTAGTATTACGTTAGTCTGTAGAGTTTTCAGCTAATTATTATATTTATTTATTCCTTTTAGCAATATCTATTAATTGCACACTTGTTAAGATTAAAAAGAATCATTTGAATTATATATTTCATATTGCAATAAATTAGAAGTGTTCAAACACTTATGCGCTTATTATATGTACATACATACTAGTACTAATTCGAAAAATTTTACAATTTCTAATTAATTTAGTGTAGTTGCATTTAATCGACAACTTCTATCTATCAGAGATACATATAATCTATACTATCTATGTATCAGAGATACATTTATATATCACAGTCAAAATTACGATCAATTATAATAGAAAGAAGCAATGATACCGATACACATTCGTCTGCTGCATCCAATATTCGTTTCTGCATTTTCTCTCGTTTTGGTCCTTCGTGCTTCACCATCCCAAAGTTTCGCAAACAGTTGCTAACAAATTTTCTCTGATCCTTCCATCGTTCTCCCTCCGCGCAAACCAATCCTGCACAGAGTCATGCGAAATTTCTCTTGTAATTTTAAATTCGAAATAACAAGATATTTCGTACTATGGTAACGGAGAATATTGATACGGAATGAAGAGATTACAACGAATTCGTTGATGTTTCTTTAAAAAAAAGTGTCAAAGATCATTACTTTTGCACAAGGTTTCATCAAGGTTAATCAATAATTATATATTACTCTGTTATTTGTTACAAGTAGATTAAGTAAGCGAGTATCGGCCTATCGCTTTGAATATTATATTTTTAATTTTCGTTATATTACGTCTTACGATATTTTAATTTTAATTTCAATGTCCTTGTAATATTTACAAATATGCGGAGGAAATGTGGAAAGTAAATAGAGAAAGCTGAATAAAATCTTGAGAGGAAATTTTCGCAAATAAGAAAAGTACATTCGCATTAATAGATTAGGGATTTTCATTCAAATGTAAATAATAATTCTCTGACCAAGTATTCACACTTTCGAATTTCTCATATCGCTTTTATCTATCTTATTTGCTATTCTTTTCGATCAAATTATACTACAAAATTCTATTCTTTCATATACAGAGCAATACAGAAGGGAGATTCATTATTATCCATTTTCACTTAGATCCTGTGGAATTAAGAAAAAATTTCAATTTCGTGGGTCAATCAATATAGCGAAGTAAATTCAACTCACCATATCCTTCCATGATTCCGTGTGTGAGGTACAAAGGCGCTCTGCTGCTCAACGCATCCTTTGCGAACGTTTGCTTTATTATTTGAGGATCCGACAGTATCACGGTGTAAACGGAGCCCATGTGAAATCCGTATACAGGGCCATAAACTTTAGCCAATTTCGTTAGAGTTTCGTGTGGTTTTTCTGGATCGATCCATGGAAGATATCCGACGATCGGAAGTTGCCAAGGACCAGGTGGTAAACGACGCGCCTTCCGATTTGCATGGAAAATATATACGACGATGGAAACGAATAGAACGATTATCGCGTAAACGAGGCTCATCGTGAATCAGTTTGTGCACTTCAATGACGCGGAATGTAGAATATAACGTAGGTACTTTGCTGTTTCATCTGTCGTGGTGATTATGCTAATCTCTTCTGAAACTGGATATTTGCTGTTTTCTTTTCTTTTTCTTTTTTATCTGTAACAAAGAACAAATTGATTACACCGTTTCTTTTGTCAATTAAAAGACTATAAATTGTATTTATAACTTTGTAACTTATTGCGGGCGAGATTAACGTTAACGTTGAGTTCCGACGAAAACGATTGACTGACTATCGCGAGTTCGTAAAATGGTGGTAGGATTCCACTCGTTGCCTGGTCAAGTTAAGCTTGGAAGAGTGGAAATAGAAACAATTTAAATTTCTGACTATCAAATCAGTCGATCGACTGTTTTACATTCGTGGAACGGTTGCTGGATTTTTTTCTCACTCTGACTTTTAACGAAGTAAATTCAACTTCAGAAGGGATGGAAGTGTCACCTCTTTGATATATTGAGCGTAAATCCCAGAAGATTGCAAATGAAATGAAAATTAAGTTACATTTATTGTTCAGTACACGTAAAATAACTATGAGATAAATAAATTACTTGTTTCTTTTAAATAACGATATAGTAATTAATAATAATATTTAATATCATGTATAAGTAATATATATTAAGTTTATCTTTGTGATCGTCCCATATATTTAATCGCACATTCAGAACTTCGCTATTTGAACTTCAAGTACCACAATCGAAACAGCGTGACGTCTCTGCACTCTGAAGCTATCAAACTTGTAACTACTAATGACGCACACTATACCGACGTGAATACCTGATCTCATCTCGTCCCTTGCTACCTGTCCGCCCGTTCACATTTCTGATATTTCATGGACTTGGCTGAATTCTCGACTTCTCCTCGTTTTTTTCTAAATTCCAAGTCCTTTTCATCATTATGCCAGAATATCGTTGACCTAAGTTAGGACGAAAATAGATAGCTAAAGATTTGCCCGTCTGATTTATTTGAGACGACCGAAAGCTGATTTTAGTTTAAGGTGTGATTGCTTAAAAGAGAAATTGACAAACTAGAGTGGCAGTGACTCACAGAGAATGTTTGATGTTTGTAGATGTTACTTATTGATGTTAATTATTGAATCATTATTTGACTATTTGATTAATTATTTATTTGATGATTCGTTTAGCTTATTTTATTTACTTATTTAGCGCACATCCTTTCATAGATTCAGTTTAATAGATTTTTCACGCAAAATTCACACAATTAAAATGGCAATTCATTTCTTTGTCCACGATTATTCATTTTATGTCAATTATTCTAAAATGTTTATAAAAATTAAAACGAATTTCGAGGAATAGACAGGAACTGAGAATGTGTATAATATACTTAGTAAAAATTAATATAGAACATGAATAGCCACTTTTATTAATATAATTGGCTAGTTTAATACTTTCGCGATCTCTTACTTTCTTAATTCTTGTAATTTCTACTGTTTCAAATTTGATTAACACGATCACTAGATCATTAGACAGATACATCCACACTTCAATAATCACGATAATTCTTTCAATTATATTTTCAAAAGTATTTGAATTTGCATAAAAGTCCGCAGTCTAATTATAATTTTTGTTAATCTCACGGATGCCGTCACTGTTGTGACACCATCGTCGAGAAGACGGCCAACTTTGCTTCTTCTCTTTCCCTGTGATCAGCAGAAAATTGTGCACGCGCAATTCGCCTAACGCGATTCTACGTTCAACGTGAATTTCTTAGTGTTTGTCTCTTATTTCAGTGCGCGTATAGCGAAATATTGTTATTTATATGGGAAAGACGACGAAGAGACGACGAAAAAAAAAAAAAAA